TCACGCCATTAAACTTAGGAGGTAAATATTTTGGATAAATAGCCTAATGTGGGAAAGAGACCATAAGTTGCTGCCAACATAAGGAAGCAAGATTACCAAGTCATGTCATGTCATTTTGACATTTGCAATTGACAATTTGACACATGTAGGCAATAAAACAATTTTATACTGATGAAATCGCACGTGAACAGCTAGTACTTAATACAATGAAGCGTAAACACACACTACTTTGTGGCGTAAGACGTCAGCAATCACAGCATACTTTTGAATAATTCTTTCTTTAATAAAAAGCCCTACACTTACGTAACGCTTTAGGCTATATATTTTAACGCTGTGAAACTTAGAGGGTAAATAAATTGGATAAAAAACCTAATGTGTGATGTGTAGACAAAGCAGCGTGTGTTTACGCTTTATTATATTAATATAGATACACCATAACTTAACCAGCAAACGGCCGTCGGAATTTGCCAAAATAGTGAAGTGCAATCCAAAGACACCAAAATTCGCAAACAATTTCAATCAATTGAGTCATCCACGAATTGGATAAAAATAAAAATACACAAATGAAATGGGCTCAGTGAATTTGCTATGGATTCGAAAATCCCTTGGGATTACAACAGTCAGATATCGATTAGTCTATTTCTGTTGACGTCGCATAGTAGGATGTTTTTTTAGATATATTTACTGTGTATTTATACGGGTTCTACCACTGTTAACATATGTTCTCTTATACTACAAGATGATTTTGTAGCCTAAAGCCTTAACATATTGTATTATTTTGTTTCTGTTTGTTAGATTTTTTCAATAGAAATAAAATAGAACCTCATGTTGAATGACATATAAAATTTTCCAATGTATTTTGTAAAGCTAAAGAAATTCCATTTGAAGTAACAAAGTTGTTTATTCCTGTTAAGAGGGAAGTTTTTAAGTGCAAAACTTTTGAATGCGAACACAATAACTTCTGAAACAATAATAAGAGATATCAGTGAAGTTTTCAAATAAAATTCAATACACTACATTGTGGGATACAAAGTTTTGTTCAATTTAATTTAAGTAATTGTTTATTTGAGTTACGTAGTTTAGTTGTAAAAGCCAAAACATTATAACAATATGTGCTGTAGCGTTACGATTGAATGTGGATGGCTACATAGCCCACCACCACCCATGGCCCACCGACCCTCGGGTCATACTGGCCGAATCGCGGGGGTGGCGCGCGGTTTGGTCGGTTTCGGCTCCGCACGCACCTTCTTGACTCTTTACAAGTTATTTCGTCTGTTCCTTGGTGTTGAGTCACACAATGTGGATGGCTACAAGGTAGAGGAAGACCGAAGAAAGT